ATCAGGCTGGCCTAAGTGCAGTGGTCTTTACAACTAATTGATCACAACCAGTTACAGATTTCTTTGCTACTTAACCACTCCCTCTGCTACACTGGACGAGCCTTTCTCAAAAAAAAAAAAAAAAAAAAAAAAAACCTTTTAATAAAAATAAAAATCATTATATGTATTTGCACTCAATTTTTAATCTTATTATATTTAGAACAAACTTATGCAACAGTTAAGTCCTTAAAATGATCTGAAAACAAAAACTCATGCAACAGTAATCTGTTAAGCCATTTATTTATAATTTATAACATCACTTACTTCTGTTTGCACATTTGATGAAGTATTTGACCAAACTACTGATTTCCTGCATCTTTTTCTGCCTGGAGGCTTGTGTTGAGGCTGATACATTTGGTTTTGCTATTCTCAGACATTCTGTTTCTTTATGAATATATTTCTGTAAAAATCTTCAAGAAAACAAAATACAATTTTAGAAACTCGTTGAATCCTTAAATTATAATAATTTCGAAAGCTGTTCATGCCATCACAAAGAGCAACTTTTAAACTACCTTGCTTAGATTACTATACCAGCTGAATAAAACAAATAAAACAATTAAATCTCTCTTTCAAGGCCTAACGCCTATAAGACCAATTTAATGTCTGGTTTGCAAAGCCCTTAATCTTCTATGACTTTCTACTGCTTTACTGCCTGCTTTCTAAATTTATCATTAAAAGCTCACAGTGCTAGTAAGGACCCTCTCAATCCTCTCTCAACTCCTTCTGTTATTCTGTACTGGATCTATCTCTTTCTTAGGCAGTTGGTAATGTTGCTAGCCATTAAATGACCCTGCCTAGAAGATACTCATAACTAGCCAGGAGTGCCAGGTACATATTTGACCTACCAGATCAGCTTATACAAAATAGTATTCATCTTCAGGTTATATTTGTTGTATTTAAAATAAACTAGAAAGCCAGAGGAAAAAGGGCATGTACGTTTCATTTTATATGCATTCAAATCTGCAACAATCTAATACCAAACAGGAGCTAAAAATAAAACAGAATCTGTCGTAAACACTGAAGGACAACTAAATACATACTCCCTCGTGACAACAAACGTTATTTCTAGTTTATTTAATACTCTCAGTATTTAAAATACTTTATTCATCTTTCCTAATTCTTACAATCTGTTTCTAGTTATAAATGGATTTCATGGTTGAAAATGATGTCTCAATGTAAAAATGCATCAACCCTGTTGGTTTAACTGATTGCTGTCCAGCAATCAGTTGTGTTTTTTCATTGTTTGAGGTTTTCTTTGTTTTTAACCAAATTCATGTACAAGTATTCCAATCTTCCTTTTACTTGTTTTATTACAATTTAACACGTGGCATTTACTTATAATCAGAGCAATATTTAAAGGTGTGAAAGTAATATCCAAACATTTATTATAATTTTTTTCTCTAATCTGAAATCTTGTGAACTAATTAAAATCAGAGAAATTCTCTCTCAATTTTGAGTGAGATATGTCTAAAACATTTTATTGAAGAAATAATTTATAATTTTTAAGTTTCTATACGAACAAGCTTTAAAAATTATGTTTTGGATAAATATTAAATGCCAAATTCATATGCAAGGCATAATAATATATAGGAAACAAAGACAAATGTTAAGACACACAAAAATAATATCACAACAGAAATAAATATGAAAGAGAAAAATGAAGACAGTAAAATAAATTTGAATAGAATACCTAAAAACAGCATCCCAATTCAAATATTTTCCTTGTTTGGAATCTGAATGCCGATCTAGATGTATAATTGTTTCAGGATCTCGAATCAGGCGCTTAAATTTCTCAACTTCTTTCTGAAAATAAAAAGGAAGTAATAATGGGTTACTAATCACACTTTTTCAAGGAAAAATTGAATTTAAGTAATTTACTACCTTTCGTTCTGTAGCTCTATCATGTTCTAGTTGACGGCAGCAAATAAGCAGATCATTAAGTGCTAGACTCATGGTTCACAATTTCAGAATACACATCACTGTCTGCAAAAAAAAAAAATAGGTATATATATGTATATGTATATATATGCGTATATACAGAGAGAGGTGTGAAAAAATGTGTATATATAATTATTTTATACTGCAATATTTATAGATTTAACCGTACAATTAGAAGCATATTCTCATCAAAGACACAATAATTTTTCTTAACATTTCCATATTTAAAATGAGATTTTCTTAAAATCTATACAAGCAATGCTGTAACACAAAAATGTTTGCCTTGCTTGCAGTGGTAGCAGGATTAAAATAAAAGTATAATTTACACTGGGTGCGGTGGCTCATGCCTGTAATCTCAGCACTTTGGGAGGCCAAGGTGGGAGGATCACAAGGTCAGGAGTTCAACCAACCTGGCCAACATGTTGAAACCCTGTCTCTACTAAAAATACAAAAATTAGCCGGGCTTGTTGTCACGCGCCTGTTATCCCAGCTACTCAGGAGGCTGAGGCAGGAGAATCGCTCGAACCCTGGAGGCAGAGCTTTCAGTGAGCAAAGATCGAGCCACAGTACTCCAGCCTGAGCGACAGAGGAAGACTCCATTGGGGTGGGAGACGGGGGAAGTATATTTACTTTTTATTACTCTGAGACCAAAGAAACATGACATTTAAATTCAGACATGAAAGATAAATGGAAAACAGCCAGGCAAATAAGGAAATGAGTACTCAAGAATTTAACATTGACAATGAATTGTTTAAAAGCACTCTTGGCTGGGCATGGTGGTGCATGCTTGTAGTCCCAGCTACTCAGGAGGCTGAGGCAGAATAATCACTTGTACCCGGGAGGCGGAGGTTGCAGTGAGCAGAGATCGCACTACTGCACTCCAGCCTGGTGACAGAGCAATACTACATCTCAAAGAAAAAAAAAAAGAAAAAAGCACTCTTGCTCATATGGAGAGATGTGTCATTTTGCTGAGCCAAAGGCTTAAAACATGCTTTGGAACTGATAAGTAGGAGGCTATCAGAGCTAGTAAGCTTTGCCTACCACTTCCATCTCGACTGGTAATTAAGGCTCTTATTTAACACATAACGATAGGAGTAAAATATTTCTGTTTTAAAAGGAAATTCTATGCTATGGTGGTATCCTTTGCAAATGTCAAGGATCAACTATATTTTACCATGTCTTGATTCCACTGTAGTAGCTCTCTTCTTTTGGGGGCTTCTGATATAATCAAACTCTCTTTTGATGTCCTTCAAAATAATCTAATAAGAACAGTATTTCAACATGGACACAAAGATGGGAAAAACTGACACTGGGGACTGTTTGAGGGACAGAGAGAGAGAGAGGTATGGCTTGAAGCGCTACTTATCAGGTACTATGCTCACTACCTGAGTGACAGGATCATTCGTACACCAAGCCTCAAAAACATGTAACAAACCCGCACATCTACCCCCAGAACCTAAAATAGAAAAGAAAAAAGAAACAGCATTCTGTTTTACTAGTTCTGATCTAAACCTTTATATGATACAAAGAAGTTTTTTTATTAGACTATGAATGTCTGTAAACAGAAAAAATACATATATTTATGTATATTATACCTACACATACTTACAACTCAAGATGTAAAAAGGTAAAGTCCTTCTCCTATCCATACATCTAAATTCTACTTAATCTTTCAAGATCAAGTATGTTTCTCTGTCCCGATTCAATCTCACAAAATCTCAAAATTGGGAGGAACTAAGAGAACAGGTCCAATCTTCCAATAAAGGAAGGAATGTCTCCTACAAAATGAATGCCCTGTCTTTGAATATTCTCAGTAAGAGCTGACTACCCGGGCCTGGCACAGTGGCTCATGCCTCTAATCCCAGCATTCTGGGAGGCCGAGGTGAGCATTTCACGAAGTCAGAAGTTCAAGATCAGCCAGCCTGGCCAACATGGTGAAACTCCGTCTCTACGAAAAATACAAAAATTAGCCAGGGGTGGTAGCACATGCCTGTAATGCTAGCCATTGGGGAGACTGAGGCAGGAGACTCACTTGAACCCAAGAAGCAGAAGTTGCAGTTAGCTGAGATCACACAATTGCACTCAGCCTGGGCAACAGAGAAAAACTCTGTCTCAAAAAAAAAAAAGAGCTGACTACCCATTTTATTAGCAGACGGCTCTGATTCTCTTCTCCTTTTGTATTCACTGGTGGTTCTTCTGACCTCCCCATCCCCCAACACTATGACAACCTCCACTTTACTCTGCTATAGATTACAGATTGTTATTTGAGTCCTTTTCATTTGATTATATACTTCCTGTGAACAAGTATTATCATTTTTGTTTTTCTATTCCTTATGGTTTTATCTAGGAATTTTCTTACTTCTTCAATTTCAGTTTAAAGCCCTCTTGAAGTCAATAAGGAAAATGAAGCTGGTAATGTAACCAACGAAAATACCTTAGCAATATCCAAAGAACCATAAGGGCTAGCACCTTTATTCCTAAATATACTAAAGATTTGACACTTCCCGGAAGAGGCAGCCCTAAACTTGACTTTTTTTTTCCCCATGGTGTGACTTCTTTGAACTTGTTTTTCTTACCTTCAGTTTCTTAATGATTACTTTGAAGAAAACAAAACAGTTCAGTATTATCTACATAAACAGAAGATGTTCATTCACTGATACATGCAAACAATGTTTACTACGTATAGCTAGACAAATAATGAACTAAACAGATACAAATCCTACCCTCATGGAGTCATATCTGGGCAGCAGAGTGACAGTAAACAAGTAAACTGATAAATCAATGCATAATTCCAAATTGTGATGTATGCCTCTGAGGAAACAAAAATACAGTGATAGAAAATAACTGTAGAGAGGATCATTTTAGATAAATTGTCAGGGAACATATCTCAGAGGAGTTTATAACAAAGCCAAGATCTGAACTAACTGGTGCCAAACCAAAAAAGGGCTAGAGGACCAACACATCAGGGAAGGAAACTAGCACAGCCAAAGGGTTCTACAATGTAAAAGCACACAGTATGTTGGTGGAACTGAAAGAAGGCAGAGAAACTATTAGGTAATCAACTAGAGTATGAATGTCACCACATAAAGATGAACTTCATTTATACATTAATCCAGAATATCTAGGTTCCACTCAAGGTTCAAATGAAAAGATACAGATTTCCTACTTCCTACGAGCCTCTGAATTGACGGATTCAGTGTTCCTTTTTTGATCTCAACCAAGTTGACCCCTTTGCAGAACTTGTCAATGACGCTTATATCCCATCTTCCTAGAAATAACTCTGCCCTTGGCATGTCATTCTTTTCTAGTGCTAAGGAGTGTGGCCTCTGTAGTCAGATTGTATTAGTTCAAATACTGGTTCAGCCACTTACAAACCGTATAATCTAGAGCAAGTTCACTAATCTCTTCAAACCTCAGTTTCTCAATGAGAAAAGGAAAAACAATACTAGTACCTACCTCTATGAGTTCCTGTAAGGACCCATATACATGCTTACAGTGCCTGAAACACAGCAAATGTTAGCGATGATCATATTCTCTTCCTTTATGACTGTTTCGAAAGTCTCCTGATAGCTCTTCTTCCGCTCATACCTCAAAGAACAGTTTTGTTTTCTTGGTCTCATCCATTCCTACGACTTCAGCAGTTGAAAACCCACAAAATATATTTCATAAAATATATTTCATTCAATACCAGACCTCACTCTGGAGCTTCAGGGTCCTTCTACACTTTGTGCCTTTACACGCATTTTTCCTTCCATCTGGAAGGCTTCTACCATCTGCCAAGGTAACACTGCGAGGTCTCACCACAAACTGAATTGATAGTCTCAGGCTGAGTTTGCAGAGAACCAAAGTCACTCCTCTACCATCAGAGTACTCCCCTATCACATACATTATCATCTATTGTAGTTGTCTTTCTACTTATCTGTACCTGGTAACAACAGTAGCTAACGCTCACGAGTGCTCACCGCAGGTCAAGATTATCTCACTTATCTTCACAAGACAGTAGAGCGAAGTCACACGAGTGACAGTCAGAATTCCAACTCCAGCCATATGCTTCCAGAGCCCAAGCTCTTAACCGCAAGGCTGAAGTTGAAATATCAATCAATGCTCGCTGACTAAAAGTACTAAATACGAGAGAGAGATCAAAAGATGACTAGTCAAGTCGCGTAGTTAAATCTGAACCCTAAGGTGACACGAAAAGAGGATGAGCAGGAGCGAGGGTTCAATTCAGGGCGTTTAAAAGGATGAGGTTATTGGCCAAGTCCGCTAGGAACCCGAAGAGAGGCCGGGAAAGATGGAGTGAGGAGAGGAGTCAAGGGAAAGATGGAGTGAGGAGAGGAGTCAAGGGCCCCTCTGGAGGGGTGCATGAGATTGGGGGTCTAGGGAGAGGACAAACTGGATCGCATGCGACTGAATTTTCCAACGCAGGAGCCTCTGCGTTGCCTCTGCGCCCCTACCGTTGTACTCGGAAGGTCAAAGTGGTATCAACCACAGCGATGGCTGCAGCGCAGATCCCGGCTCTTTTCGCCTCCTCCCGCGGGGACGGCTTCTTTTCTCCGTTAGCCACGCAGGTACCTACTCCCGCTTCCGGTTCAAACCCTGCGTGACTGCACAGCGCCCACCTCTGGAAGAAGAAGCAGGGCCGAGCGGCGGCAGAGCACGGTGTGCCCATGCGCGCCAAGCATCACGCGGTCTCCGCGCTCAAAACACTCCCTCAAAACATCCGGCCCGTCGGAGCAAATGCGCCTGCGCCCCGTCCACCAATGGCCAGCGACCTAGCGTTTGCGGCTCCCCCTTCGGCTCGGGCTCCGGGGTTCTCACCCACCGTCCTCACCCTCCTCATCTCCGCCCCTCCAAGTCTGAGGACGGAAGTGACGACAGTTCCAAAGGCGAACGGAGGCGGGTTTCATTTCGGCGCCTTTCTTTCTCTGGCAGAAGCGATTGGCTGGCGTAAAGCGAAAGAGGCGGGACAAATTGCCGCGGGTTCAGTACCGCCACTGGAACCGGGAGATGCGGCGCAGGAGCTGTCGCTGTGTTTGCTTTAACCTGAGTCTTGTTCCTTATTGTGGTTCCTGCTGCGGTTTTGATCATGTTGTTACCCTCGGACGTAGCCCGGCTTGTATTGGGTAAGCGCGGGCTCGGGAAGGAGAGTTATTGGACCCGGCTATGCCGGACACAAGGACCTTTGAGGCCAAAGGTTTTCCCTGGGTGGGGAAGCTTTGGGGTTTTGCCTCCCAGCTTACAAGTTGAGACTGGCGGTGATTCTTCGTCACTCGGAGGTTCTAGGCAGTTTAAGCCTCTTTGTATGTAGATGCTTCTCTCTTCAGAGGCTGCGTGGCGAGGGGAAGGCCGAGGGGGGAAGCTCGAGGTGCAACACCTGGGGCCGGATTCGGAGGGAAAGTCAGGCCTCCACAGTTAATTAGGACCCCTGAAAGAGCGTTTGTCTGCATGACGGACGGGTTGCGTGTGCTTTAACCTTGGGCGCACTTTCCGTGGTTCATTGCTGGGACCAAAATAGGGCAAAGAGGGACTTCCCCGGCCCCCCATCTTTGTAGGGAGACCTTCCTGGCGCCCTTTTAATTACCCGCCCTTATGACTACGAATTTGGGAGTAAGGGTGATCTTCCTTCTCCATCCTCCACGCAATACGTCGTCCAGTGTAGAGGTGTGAAATGCCACTTGCATATTTTAAAACAGCAATTCCTATACCTTTGATCAGCAAAAAATTTCAGAGGGTTAATTGCCTTAAATTAGTTGAATGTTTTCTAGCCCTAGTTTTACCTTCATTTGAGGAGGGGTGGTTTGTGGGTCACTTGTTTGTCAGGGTGTATTGTCTGTGTGAGAGACGGGTTTTGTTGTTTGTCCCTTGAAAGAATAAAGAGGATTGTACTACAGGGGACGAGAGTCACGTAAAGCTCAAAACCCGAGCCAGTGATTTACAGACGTCGTATGCGACGTCCTTAAAAGTAAATGGCAAGCATCTGTGATGAAACCTCCCGTAGTATTCGCAGCCATTACTACCATTATTTTATTGTTCGGAAAACCCATTTGTCTTGTGCCTCTTTTAAATGCCCAGCGCTGTCCACAAAAATGTTATTTGCGCAGGGCTCTTGATAAGCACATTTTGCAGGAAACGTTAAACGGAAATGGTTCCACCATCCATTTTTGAAGAAACTAATGACAAGTTTAAACTAATGTTTTGTTAATATCTGGTTAATCTTTTGCTTAAGAATTCTGAGTTTTGGCAGTTTGGTAATCTAGTTGAGTTTCGGTAACTGTAGTCTTAAACATGATTTCTCAGCCTCAGTACTGTTAACATTTTGGGCCTCATCATTCTTTATTGTGGGGAGCTATCCTGTGCTCAAACATTGTAGGATGTTTAGCAGCATTCCTGGCTTCTATTCACTAGTTTACAGTAGGACACCCATTCCCCACCCTGCCCTTACCCAGTTGTGATTAGGGAAAACGTCTGTAGGTGTTGCTAGTATGTCCCCTGGAGGGCAGAATCATCCCTAGTTAAGAAAGTCCTAAGAAAGCAGTATCATTTTCTAATTGAAATAATTCGCATCAATTTGTGAGTATTCTTTCTCCACAAACCGGCTACTCTGCTGACTTCCTGCTTTTCATTTAATGGACGAAAAACGCCAGCCATGGTTTTCTTACCTTAAAAATCTTTGTCATTCACATTCCATTTTCACTGCCACCAGTCCCGCAATGTGCCTGCCATTACTTCTCTTTTGGACTTCTGTCATGGCTTCCTAGATAGTTGTCCTTGCAATTCATTTTATTTACTGCTGTCACAAATCTACCTGAAGCGTTCACACTATACCTTTTATTCTGAAAGTTGATATAATTCTGTTCTTACTAAAAATTTCAAATGTGCAGGAGTATACAATACAAAAAAAAGCCTCCCCATGCCTAATGCTCTTACTTTTGTTATTTATCGTTATACATCTTAAATATATATATATCGTGTATATCTTTCTCATATCAGGTTTATTATTTACTCATGATTCTTCTATCAGTACCCCCTCCCCATCTTCAGCTCCTCTTGTTATTGGCCCCTTCATAATGTTTTTTCCAGCAAATCTTTGGGTGCTTAATGTGTTCCAAACACTGCCAGTTGCTGAACATAGAGAAGTAAGTTTTCTCCCCTTAGTGTTCAGATAATTATGGTTTTTTAACTCTTAAACACACACACAAAAACACTTTTCTAGACCCCAGTAGACATTAGACACAAACAGGACATTCTGTCTGATGTTCTGTGTCACCCTTTCACAAGTCAAATGTATTCAAAGAACAAAGAATTCCGTTAGTTGCTGTTCTTCACCTACTTTTTATCCTTCAGGATACTGCACTCTGACTTTTGCATCTCACTACTCCACTTAAGTAGCCCTTGTTGCCTTGTTGGGATTTTACAAAATGTATGGGCCAGAATACATCAAAGTGTTGTTTATTGCCTCTGGGCCATCAGTTCAGTTTTTATCCGTTTATTCAAGGTGATCTGTGGAACTGATCCTACTTACCTCTCCAGCTTGATCTCAACTTCTTAACATCTACTTTATGCTACAGACGTGCCAAACGAATTGAAGTTTCTTGGGATATTCTTATATGTATTCTACTTCTCTTTGTCTTCCCAGTACATTTGCATTCAAGGTTCAGGTCACACCTGATCTCTGAAACTTCATTCAGCAAGTACAGTTAGTACTTTCTTAAATGTTGCCACAGCATTGTACTTCTGTTACAACCTTATCATGTCTTATTGTAGCTGTGTGTTTACTTTTTTTGATAAAATATACATAACAAAATTCACCATTTTAAAATGTATAGTTCTTAAAGCCGAAAACAATGAGTTTGTTGTTGTTGTTGTTGTTGTTGTTTTTAGTGTACAGATCAGTAGTGTTAATTGTATTGATATTGTTCTGCAACCATCACTACCATCAGTTTCTGGAACTTTTTCATCTTCCCAATTTGAAACTTGCTTTTTTGTTTTATTAGTAGTCTTAGTCATGGATGAATGGACAAGCTTCAGGAGTTCTGGGAGTCCCCAAAATTATCATCTGTAAAGGTTTTCTTAAATAGATTTGTTACCTTCTGTATGAGACAGTATGCATTAAAAAAAATAGAAACCACTCTGAGTATTTAACATGGAAAGATTTAATGAGAGAATTGGTTACACTGGTGAGAGAAAAACTAAGACGCCCAGCAGCTTATAACTAAGGCATCTCAGTGGTTAGTGACAGTAGGAAGCCACTATGCTAATGATAAGAGGCTGAGTTGACTGTGTGGAACATGGAAGACTTGCCTGATGAGGGGATGGTAGTCATAGAGGAGACTACTGAGGCAGAAAGGGAATGGGGGGAAAATGTGGCTGCTTCCTCCTGCCCTCCAGCCTCCCACCAGTGCTTCCTATTTACTGAGCCCAGTCAGTAGCAGGCTGACAGAAGAGCTTGGGGAACATTGCCTATACAGAGTCAAGCTTTATGTCATAGAGTCGAGAGCAACAAAAGAGTCAAGAACATATTTGAAGTCGAACAGGACCAGAACTGACACACCCCTAACAGGTCAAGAGCTGCTGGTTCTATTCACCTTTATATCACCAAAACATAGATATTTAATAAAACATTTGCAAAAGTATGGCTGTAATTATGACACTCCCCTTTGTTTATTGAATAATATATGTACTCCTTGCTGTCTAAAACTTTTCATGATCCTTACCCGTTTTGTCTTTTCTGTTGTATCTCCAACTCTTCCCCTTCATAAACTTTGTGCTGCATCCAAACTGGACATGTTCCCCAAATATGCTTGCATATATGCTTTCTGTCAGCTTCTTTGGGATTCCCAGCCATCCTTCAGAACTCATCTGCACCTTCAAACGTCACATAATTTCCAAGCTTAGTAGTGGTTTCTCCAGCCCCTCCCTTCTCATGAAGTAAATCAGCTCTATTTTCTTACCATTTTTGCTTTGCATCACAGTTATTTGTGTATATATCTTCTATCTCCAAGTAAGTTGTAACTTTATAGACAGAAACCTTGTCCCTGTTATTTGTGGATCTAGTAATATAAGGCACCATAAGATAAGGCTTCCTAAGAATTATTTGCGTGCTTAAAGGACGTTAAATTACTAATCTTTCTAGGGAAATAGTAGAATATGTGAAGGAGATGTTTTCACATAGCGTGCTTTACTATCTCTTGTTTGCTTTAAACCTCTCTTTTTATCTTTCCCTCTCTACAAGTAGGAAGAAAAAATACTCTTCATATAGTTAGGATTTTATCCTTTCTTCTCTTTTTCAGTTGTGTTTCCCCTTCAATTTATTTAGTTACTCATTACCACCTCCACTTTTTTAAAAGTAGGCTGAAGATAGTATTATGTTAAGAAAGAAACTCAGGCATGCTTTCTTACCTATTCAGGCACCTTTGTCAGTAAGTTTACACAAAAAAAATACATTTCTTTTATTCTTAAGTTGTTTTTAGGAATAAAAGGAAAAAACGGTAATAACTAATATTAGTTATAGGATAACCATTTGTATAATACTGATAAGAGATGATTAGTGCCTAGTTTGTACTTTCTGTTTTATTAATTTATTTATTGAGGTGGAGTTTCACTCTTGTCATCCAGACTGGAGTTCAGCAGCGAGATCTCGGCTCACTGCGACCTCTGCCTCCCGGGTTCAAGTAATTCTCCTGCCTCAGCCTCCCAAGTAGCTGGGATTACAGGCGCTCGCCACCACGCCCAGCTAATTTTTGTATTTTTAGTAGAGATGAGGTTTCACCATGTTGGCCAGGCTGGTCTGGGACTCCTCACTTCAGGT